ATCACTGGGATGTCCAAAATGGCATCTTATCCTCCTTTTAACTCCATAGTGAAATTAGTAATGACATCTAATTTATTTATTAGCTCAAGGAATTCCTTCAATCTAGCTTTTTCATACCAGACAGGAAAGTAATAGTCCATTTACTTAACTAATAACTTTAGAACTTCAATCGAACCTCTAACTGAGCCATGTAATTATTAGCGCTCATGTATCTCATTATTATAGATCAATAAGGGTAATGCGATAAATTCATAGATAATAATACTCACCTCTATTACCAGAAGCATAAGACGAGCAGCTATTTCACACTCTAGTGAGACTAAACCACAAGTGAGATTGTGGTATGGTTCACGTTTATCTCGCATCAGCTGTCGCCAAGGCATCCAACCACTCGGAGCTGCCATTCGGCCAAGCCACCTTGCAGCAAGATCAATTACCTGATCTGCTAATCCTTTTTTGCTAAAACGAGCAGCTGTCTTTTCAATAGCTATGTTAGAAGACTGAGCAAGATGGAGATGCCAAAGAGTAATCAATCTATTGTTGATAAAAACTGAAGCTACGACAAGTGGCATGAGACGAAAACCACGGGAGGGGACCAATGCAACAGGATTTGGTAAATTATTTGGCGTCGAGTCAGCTATAGAAGAGGCCGATAAGTAGAGAAATGGGTCATCTGGCGGCATAGTAAGACCGGGCCAAAAGTAGCATGCGAGTCTGTTGAGCATACCATCAGATGATGAAAGCGAATAGGATTCCTCCGCAGTTCGAAAAGAAGGGAAATGACTGGTTTGTCGAAAACAGAAAGCAAACCCTGCCCCAGGAAGAGAGGCAGGTGCGAGAGTGACAAGTTCGGAAAGACTGTTATCGAGGCGTGTAAGCCAAGGCAAATGCCGCCAATCGGGGTCAGAAGGTGGACAGGAAATAGCCATCTTGGCCGAATTAGCGACGACTGTCTCTTTCGAATCTAATTCGTTTTCGCTTGCCGTATCGTCAGGAGATGACTTTGATCCTTTAGCGGAGCTCGAAGATGCCTCAATATAGTCTGCTGGTAAGCTGCAATACACCGGGCTGACATCACCAATCTCGAGTGGACCACCGGTTAGCAAAGATTCGTGACTGAAATAACAGAATATGAGCGGCAATCTCGAGCTAGTCGAAATTCTAATATAAAGCCAACAATATTTCTAAGCCAAAAACTTTCCCTAATTAAAATGATTCAAAAAAAGGGAATTCGTATAGCTTAAAAGAAAAATTGTAACACTTACAGAACAAATCGTTCGAGCAGAAGGCTCCAAGCTGGGAGGCTAAAAAGGGGATGCCATATACGAATCCATTGGTCCTCAACGTAGAAAAGGGCAGGCTGAATATCAGAAAAATGTACTCGAAGAGGATGCAAAACGAGTTTTAGAATGAAGCATGAACAGGTTCGCTTTAAAAATGTGTGAGAAAACTTATCATAATTTAAGTCAAAGATAAATGTGGGTTACTGCAAACAAGGTGAAGATATCATAAAAGTGGCTGTAGTCACCTTAAACTGAATGGTCTGTGGGCCTGACCGGTTAATCAAGGCGATTCGTAGCTCAATTAGTCTGGCGCTGATAGTGAGAGCAACGGAAAGAAGAGCTGGAGTTAGATGCGTATAGTACATCTTTGTCTAAGGAAGAAAAAAAAATGTTACTGACCAATGATAAGGCATAATAAGAGTTTTGTGATAACTTTCGCTTTGTGTGAAAATGTTTTATGAATATATTCGTAAATCGATCTTAGCAGAATATGATGGCTGATTAACTTTGTTATGTAAATGCTTGATTGTATTATGATATTCAAATTTAGAAGGTCCACTTAGCATCCTTCTTCGGTTCTAGTGGAAACCGACAGAGCAATCTGGAAGCTATCCTTGCAAAAGCTTCAGGCTAGCATTAAACCGGCCCTATTGACTTAAAGCATTTGTACAAATTAGTGCAATCTCTAGCGGTGTGTCACTTTGTGCAAAAATATTAACCCATTTTCACTAAGACCGATGTCTCGTGAACTGCATCAAACTGGAGAAGTAGTACAATAAAATAGTTGTGAAGAATTTCATTTCGTATGGAAATGGTGAAGAGATTCGTAAGTCAATCTCACCAGACTTGAGGCTTTTGCAAGAATGAGTCCCAGCTCTGACGATGTTCGTCACATGACAAACAAAAGCTCAGCCCCTCTTCGTCTGAAACGTTGAACGATGTCTCGTGGACTACATCAACTTGAACGTCGTATTAATGCCAAACGGCTGCATCTTCTGATGAGATTGACCTACGAATCGCTTCCCCATGTACTTCCATAAGATATAAGTCTTCACGACAAGCTTATCTGGAAAATTTCTTCGAAACCCGCATTTTATATGTATATACATAGTGTCATAAAAGCCAATATAGAATGAAGATCAGCCATCGTCTTCTGATGAGATCGAGACATGAGTCTAGAATAAGAGCAATAGTAACGATATCAAAACGAAGACCTGGAGCAAGTGATTAGTAAAAATAGAAGTTTACTTGCATACGAATAAGTCTGGTCAGACAGAATATCTAAGATAAAAATAATTCTAGCGACTACCCTGGTATAAGTAGTAGTTTGACTTCAGTTTCTCGAATTTGTCAAAACGACGGAGGCGCCTTGTGAAACGTACTTAATCCTTCGTCCTTTGCCATAAAATTCGTGAAAAATTCCAGATATTCCCAAGTTCACGTTCCGATGCTGGAAATTATCAGAAATACTATGGCAAATAGTGCAGGACTAGCTACGTTCCACGAAGTTTCCTCTCACTTCACCCAACTTGCGAAAATGATTTAAAACAAATACAATACAGCCAAAGAAGACTGCGACTAAATAGGATATAATTGCCAGCAAATTCTTGCCCTTTAGATGTGGGCCCATTAGTGATAAGATAACAATCGCCTTGCTTGTCTATCATGCAATAGGCCCCACAACCAAATAGCTATAGAGTCGAGTAAAGAAGTAGATAGCAAATGTGCTTCAATCAGTATAAGTTTCGAGAATGGATCTCGAACGTTTAGATGATAAGACTCGAAGGAAAGACCTGTAAAGCCAAGATAAGAACTTAATTTTGAGGCAAATTGCGAGGCGGAAACAAGTATTCCCTTTAATTCGTCATGGCAAGTTCAAGTGGGTTACATTTACCAATCACAAAATGAAATTTAAACAGCAATCGCAAAAAAAATTTCCTGCCTTGAATAGTGCTAGATTTTATTAACTGATTAATGGCCTCCATTATGATAATTCATTCACTATCAAAATAAATATAAATGAAGATATGTTAATGAAATCTATCAGAGCCATTACGGCACTAACCTTTTTTATTACATATTATGAACTGGAAGTTAGAAATCGACACTTTAAAGAACTTTCAACCAGGATAATTATAAATATATGTTTATTGTTAAATAAGTAGTAATAAATACGATATATTTTAGTAATTCATCTCACAAGAACTCAACGTTTACAAAGCCAGCACTTTTGGGATGACTTGATAAAACAATATCTTAAGGCAGCCATT